CCGAGCGGCTCGCGCACGAGACGCGCCGCGCGGACGACGCGGAGGCCCGCATCGCGGACGCACGGCTCAGGCTCCACACGGCGGGCACCGCGCACGCGAACGAGAGCATCCGGCTCCACAAGCTGCGTCTGGGCGCGGCGTAGCGCGAGCAGCCTCCAGGCGCCCTCCAGCAATGGCAACCGTCTGCGCCACTCCTACGTACGTCCCATCTCCGTCCCGCGCCCAGCGCCTCTGCCCCAGCGCACCGAGCCGCCCTGGCTCGCGTTCCCGGACCCAACCCCGCGGTCAACGAGTCCGTTAGATCGCCTCCGCGATCGCGATGGCGACCGCGTCCTGCTCGCTCGCGCGTCGACGACGTCACCCTGCCGTGTGTACTGATGCTATCTTGCAGCCCAACGATCCCGTTTCCCGTCGGTGCAGGCACAACACGGCCCATGTCTCCGCCCATCGACTACGCCCAGGGCCTATCTGCCCCGTCGCGCTGGCGACGATCGCTGGGGGGTGCGCCGCGGCCAATGAGCAGTCGTGTCGGCTGCAGCGCGCTACCGCGACGACCATGGTGCGTGCTTTCCCTGGTTTGGACACGCAAGGCGTGTGCCGAGAGCGCGCACGGGCGACCTGTGACCGAGGCGACGCGCGACGGGCGACGGCCGCCCGCGGACTTTGTGGCTCACGACTCACGTTCCGGGAACGCTGCTATGGTCCCTTGTCCCTGGGGCGCGCGCAGAGTCCGGGTGTGTGCGCGACCGTTGACGACTTTGCCCGTGCACTCACAACGTCTTTGCAGATGTCGAGCGCGATAGGACCAGGCCACGGGATGCGCGCTCTGAGGCCGCAGAACGTCGGCTGCGTGACGTCGGACCCCGCATCGCCAATCAGAGCAGGGGCTGAGAAGCGTCAGGGACGGGAGACGGCGTCGCGAGCGACACGGAAGATGCCGTGCGCTGGACCAACGCACGCGGTGACACTCATATCGCGGTGCGTTCTGCGCCCCGGCGGCGGCGGCGCAGCATCTCACCATCTGACCTGGGATGCACAGAGACGTCCGGGAGGGACGCGATGTATACTTTATAGAGACGCACGTACAGCGGAAGCCCGGGGGACGCCGGACAGAGACGACCGGCACCCGAGCAGACAAACGAATATATTTCTACTCCTGGTATGTACACTGGCAGGCCTAGTCTATGCAGATCGGCCGGTGATGATGGCCGGGAAGGACGCACCGGCCACATGGGCAAGCACGGGCTCACGACCGGATGGCCCTTCGCGAGGTCGCCAGGCAGCTTTGAGCAGCGTTGGCGAGCGAGCAGCCCATCTCGTGGCGTCGCGACGAGGGGTAGGGCGGGCGTACGTCAGTCAATCACCGAATGGCAAGGATACAACGCGCACCGTAGATCATACCCGCCGTGTGATCGTGCCGGTCACCGCAGAACGACGCGATCACGCAGCACTTGATGCAGCGTGAGTATGGTCGGCTGTGCGGGGTGCGCGATTTGCGCCGCGCGTCGTGGGTGCGGCGGCACGACCAGCTCTTCATCTTCAGCGGGCCCACGCGCACCGTCGCGACCAAGGCGAACAAGCCTGTGTGGGCGTGCTCGATCTCGTGGCGCGGTCACGGCCCCAGCATCAGCGCCCCTGCGTTGCCCATCTCGCCCAACTCAACGGGCTCCCCACCGGGAATATTGAGCTTGGGCTCCGGCTCGGGCTTGGAGCGCAACTCCAAGTTGCCCTCGACGGTGACGGCGGACACCTTCCCGCGCCTGGAGTCGTACGGCTGCCTGCGCAGTGCACCCGATGCTGTGAGACCACGTAAGCACATATTCAGTGTCGAGCTGGATGCGCAGACCCACAGCGCGCATCCAGGTTATTTGAGTCGGAGCCACTGCGAGAGTCAGCCTGAGCCCGCACGCGCGCCTGCACCCGTAGCGCAGGCCGCTGGTCGAACGCCGGTGTCCTCTTGACACGGCAATGCTGCGGCACCGGCGGTCAGCCACGGCGCTGCCAGAGATGAGAGACGACAGCGCAGACACGTACCGTGCGTGTGCGCACAGCGCGCGGGCAGCGTTCTGCATGACCTACGCTCCGTGGAGGCAAAGGGTCAAGAGTCCGGTCAGTGCGCTTCTGTGGAGGACGGGTGCGGCCCACACACCACATGAGGAGCGATAGGACGTCGGCGCGTGAGTTTCCGCTGACCGCTGAAGAATGGACGGGACAGGACGGGACCGGGGAGCACGCGCGCACAGTTCGAACCAGCGTCACCATGGGCACACGATTGCCATGTACAACATGTGTCAAGATCTGGGGACCGAGCGCATGATGCTCAGAGCCTCTGGGTTAAACAGTCAGCACTGGCGGCACCAGTCAGACGGTCATGTACTCACGGAGAACGGCAGGTGCGTCCGACGCGCGAGCGTTGTACTGCGCTAACGAGCTCGACGCTCCCTCATGAACACTCGATGGGCAGCGGACGGAGGATGATACGCACCCGATTGCTCGTAGCAAGCATACCAGCCGGGCAGTTGGCATTCCGGCCACATAGCGACAGCACTCGGTTGTCCACTGGAGTGTGGAAGATGCGGGAAACAAGCTGCAGCTGCGGCTTTATATATAGTTTCCTGACAGTCTGCGGAGGCCGATGCCGTGCATCTTGTCAGACAAGTCTACGTGAACATTGAGTCAATTGCTGTTACATGCGCAAAAAACAAATGCGCTTGCAGCTACCAAACATGTTGCAACATAGCGAGTCATGACAACGGCTTAAAATAGTACGGTGCACTATCGAGCAGAATGTGCTGCATTATGGCTATTTTTGGTTAATGATCTTTCTGACTGCGATGGGAGTCTATGTAGAAACGAGTGTCGGCATCGGGTTCGAACAAGCGAGCGCGAAGGTTTACGGAAGCGAGTGGCGCGGGAAAAGATCAAATACGAAGCGGTTTGTCTCGTCCGCGGGGCGGGGAGGTAAATGCGCGAAGTAATTACATGCGAGAACTCGGCCTAATATAGTAAACACTTATCTAAATCAGGTACGAAGGAACAAGGTACTATCGCGCCGCAGCGCAGCACGTCGGCGAGCCGGTAGTCGGGCATGCGCTCGCCCGGTTGTTTCAACAGTCTAGCCCGACTGTACCTATTTGTAGTATCTCAACAACTTTATTTATTGCACTACATGTACCTTGGTCATTCTCGTACTTTGCATTCCGACTGCTTGCTTTGACGTACAGACTCATCTCCAAAGCAAATACACAAGTAAGTAAACTTTGTATATTTGCACAACTTGGTATACATGGTAACAAAAACAGTATGGTCCATGTTGATCTTGGCAGCAGTCAGTCAGCTCCGAGCTATGCAACATCCTTCACGCAAAAGCGTGGCATACTGCGCGCAGTCATACAGGATGCATTGCGTGAGTTGAATTGTATGTATTTCTGATATGCGGCTAGAGACTTACTCGATATGGGCATTACAGGCAAAGTCACCGGGGATCCGAATGCGCGGATGCGCTGGACCCCGCAATCATATATCAATCACGTGTGGAACAAGTATTGGGTTGCCTTACAGGGATGGAGTCCACATGTCCCGTTCAAGAATCCCAGCAATCTTCCTGGTGGTACCCGAGTCTTCGACAACTTGATCTTCCGGTGCGAGCGTGGGATCATACGATTTGTCAAGATACCCGAGCACGAGCGCTGCAACATCGACATGACAAAGGTTGTGCCTGGCGGAATTGTTGCCCGCAAACCATGGCCCGGTCGCCCGGATATCAAGCGTGCCCGGCATCGTCCGGTATCAAATCCGCACAATCTTCCATTATGCAGACAGCGACCAGGCCCGATCACGCCGGAGTATGTGTGGGAAAATACTGATGCCGAGATAAGAGATGATGGCACACTCGAGGACGACAAGATAGTAGAGACATGGGACGAGGAATGTGCACAGGTAAACATTGATGATGAGGACCCAATTGAGGACTGGCCGTAGAACTACATGTTGCAAATGTCTGTCTAGCATACCATACAGAGTTGCTCTCGCTAAATCCTAATGGAGCATGTCCCGAAAGATTTTGATGCAGACCAAAATAGCACTCACCATGGCTACCGCACCTCAACGGGCGCAACAGCAGTGCGAGCAGATGTCAACCAATGGGTATTTCTGGCAGAACGAGGGACCCTCATGCACCGCTATGGCCTTTGCATCCCCCCGGTGGACGTCCCACCGGACAACGAGCAGCAACCACATCATGGCCCTGCCACCACCGCATGAGCTCGCACGGCCCATCGCCCCATACTTGCCCAGCCCAGGGACTGTGTCGCACACGCGCGATGATCCCGGGGTCTGCATGCGCGACTGTGCATATGTGCACGATGCAGCGCCCGCTCAAGCCCCGGCGCACCGCGCGTTTTCCAACCCTGGCACCCCATTTTCCCCGCAGTCCAGGACGTCGACCAACATCTCGTAGTATGACCTCGTCAGCGCGTGCAATGGCAATGGCAATGGCAACGGCAACGGCAACGGCAGATCGAGCAGCGGCAGCAGCAGGGACGCGCTCCCGGGCCTGTGGCAGATGATTGGCGCGTTGCGGCCGCAGTCGAGAGGTCGCGCGTACGCGAGAGAGAGCGGGAGCGGGCTGCACGGGAGCAGGACGTACGTTCCGCCGGAGACCTTTGAGTGTTGCGTTGTTCTGACATTGGTTGTTCTGCATGCATCCAAAGCGGCAGCGGCAGGCGATGGCACCCCGGGGGCCGGCCATGGCCATGGACGACCCACCGGCGCAGGCACCAGAGCTTGTCAGGCGCAAGCAAGAGCGGGAGTCATCTTTGGAGCGCCAACACAGATCGGGCACGGGGACGCTGCTGGAACACTTGTTCAAGAAGCGCTTCCGGACCCGCCGCCAGTAGGGGAGCAGCGGCGGCATCCCCGACATCATGGTGGAGTCGCCAGTGAGTTCCATCCCGTATCGCCATCGCTATACACTGACCCGCTGACCCGTCTGCCCGCAACGCACCATAGACCACCGCCACGGTTTCCCGGGCCTCGACGATCACTGCGGCCAACCAGCCACATCTATTGAGCCCAGAGATGCATCAGCCGTCCCTGCCGCCGTCCGCTGACGCCGCAAATTTCGCTGTCTCCGACTCTGACCCGCGGCCGCTACTCCAGCTGCCAGAGTTCTACCTGACCACGCCCAGCGCCGTTGGCATCGCCGACGAGGTTGAGCAGCAGCTCCCCGCCGGGTTCGTGCCCATGAGCGCCGCCGACACCCCACACGACTTCGGCGCGACGAAAGCGAAGGGGCCCAGATACAGCTACGAGGTCGCGCCAATACCCCCTGGCGTGGTCTATCCCAATCCGCCTGGCAGGAGAAGCGCCACGCCTGGGCGGAGGAGCGCTACGCCGCACGCCGCCGCAGGGGTGGCGCTCCCGCCGTCGCCATCCAGCACGCCGAGCCCCCGTGGCCGGCGCGGCAGCCTAAGCGGCCATTTTTCGCCCCTGTCACTCCCGCTCGCGTTTGTGGCATCTCCTTCTGCCCACGCACTGAGTGATTAGAAGTGAGCGCGCACATTGGGGCCCCTTAGCCGGTGCGCGACAATCGGGAACAGCGTGCTACTCGGAAGCGGAGCTGAGTAGGTGGACTGTACTTTATACTTGAGTGTGGCGCACTGACCGGGCAGGACGGGGGATTTGAGGATGTTGCGGCGGCCGGTGAGAAACACCAAGGTAGGTTTTGCGGAGCGCGTCATCTTGTTGCGCTGTTTCTAATGACCTGGTGCGGTACGGTCAAAGCGGGCGGGTGGTGCGGACACGCGTGGTCCAACGTACGTGGTCCAACGTACGTGGTCGGGCGAGAAAACGCGGTCGGCGGCAGGAGGTGACTTGAGTCAACGGGGCGCCGTCGACGTGCACTTACGCCCGCCGCCCTGGTTCTCGCTCTTACTCCGCGCATGCCCCTGCGCGTGCGCGTGCCCGGGCGCGACAGGTACCTACTGCACGTGCAAGTCTCCGCCCATGCCGCCGGCCGTGTCGGGCCCCTGCGTCGTGCGGTCTGTGGGTGCGGGTCCATTCGCCTGGCCGAGCCGTGCGAAGGCTACGGAGCGTGTTTTAATGTGGCGTGGGCCGGTACGATGGCGGTGCGAGTGAACATAATGGTGGCGAGCGGGAACGATGGCGGCGAGCGGGAACGGCAGTGGCGCGAGCGAACACGACGGCAGCGCGAGCGGACACGACGGCAGCGCGAGCAGGTATTTGTGCGACTTGGCGTGTTTGTGCTGCGGCGGCGCGAGGATTTGGACTACACCGAATTGCGCCATTTGGAGGAGACTTTGTGCAGTTAATTAAATATATTTTGCTGGGCTACAGCACGTAGACTGTGTTAGATTCAATCCGAGCTCACTCACCTGCATCCCGCGGGGCACCAAGTCATCTCTATATCGCACAAACATATGCACTTCTTTACGCTGCACAAACATGTGGACTTCTTTACGCCGCAAAAACACGCCTATCTTTCGAATTTTGTCAGGTTAGTCCAGCGAATCGCGCGCGCGCACGTCGCACCACACACATCTGCGTGATCCTACGCCTGCCATCAGCGCTCACCAGGCACACCGCCATTGTCTGCACCGTCACGACGCTCGGCGGCCGCTCGAGCAGCGGCTCCGCGTTCAGCGCCGCGCGCGTCAGCTGGAAGTACTGCTCCGCCTCCGAGTTGTGCGGCGCGGGCGGCAGCTCGACGTCCGTCAGCGCGCCGAAGCAGAACGTCACGAACAGCAGCGCCAGGTCGTGCGCCGTCCCCGGCGTGCGCGCGGGCTGCAGGTCGAACGCCGCCGCGGAGCTGCTCAGCTGCGCGCCCGCCTCGATGCTCCCGCTGCCGCTCGCGCCCGCGTGCGCACGGTACTCCACCGCCTCGGCGTAGAACAGCGGCAGCACCTCCTCGACGAGCTGCCGCCGCGTCACCGCGCCCGAAG